CGTGCCCCCGCCCCCCCGGCCCCGGTCCAGCCTGCAGCCTGAGAACTCGGTGGAGCAGGGAGGCGGCAGCCTGGTGAACGGTGAGCAGGGTCCCGCTGGGACGGAGCTCGCCGGGAGTGTGTGGTGTTTCAATGGACACGTGCCCTGGGCGTGTTGCTGGGGCCTGTGTGTGTGTGTGTGTGTGTGTGTGGGTGTGACTGTGTTTCCAAGGTCATTCATGCCACAAACAGTGACTGAGGCCGAGGGCACAGCTCGAACAAAGCAGGTGCATGCAGATGGTGCCCCAGGCTGCCCATGCTGTGTGTGTTGGGGTGTTTGTGTTCTTTTGTGAGTCTCGTGTGCTTCAGTTTCGGGGTGTCGGGCAAGTGTGCACGGTGTGTGCCTGTGTCCCGACTGCATCCGGGACTCCGTGTGCTCGGCCAGTTTACATACTCCATCGGGTGATCTCCCTCTCACGGCAGCCCATGTCCTTGTCCGACGTCTGACCAGGGAGTGCTCAGGGGCGGGGACAGGCCCGGGTGTGTCCCTGGTCAGGTGGGCCCCCGGGGGGCTCTGTTCAAGGCCCTGATTGCAGGACTTTCCCAGATGACCTGCCTGGCTCCGTGAGCTCATGCAGGCAGGGCTCCTGGGCACCTCCGATGTGCTGGGCGACCTTCTCACCTGCTCAGGGAAGTCCGTCAGGCGAGGAGGGCCCGTGGGTCTGGGGCAGAGGCTCCCTCTGGCTGTTCGGTTCTGTTCTGAGCTGGGCACTGGGACAGAGATGGTGCTCACCTGTGTGTGCCTTTGTGGTGTAGCCAGTCTCCGGGGGGACCCGGGCACAGGCGGGTTCAGTAGATCCTGAAGTCTGTTAGGAGGGGCAGCGGGGCTGCTGTGGGTTCAGGAGGCCTCCAGGAGGAGGTGGTGCTGGGTGCATGGAGACGTTTCCCGTCCACACGGGCAGTGTCTGAGGGCACTGGGTCCCCCTTCCCAACTGAAATGCAAATGGGGTCTCAGCTGCCCTGTCCTTTCCTTTCGACCTACTCTGCCTGTCCCCTCTGGGGCTTATCTAATCTCCCTGAGCCCTGGGGTGGGAGGCGCGAGTGTGCAGTGAGGTTGCCATGGCCAGCTGGAGTCCGTGACCTGCCAGGTAGGAAGGAAGGGCACTCGTGGTGAGGCGGTCACTCTGGCTGGTGACCCGGCTGCCCCACTGCGCTGCCCAGCCCACAGAGGCCATGAAGGCCTGCCTCACCCTCCTTTCCCATCTAGGAAGGCTGCACGAGCCCCCCGTCCCCAAGCCGAGAGGGACGCCCAAGCTGTCAGAGAGGTACGCCGGCCCTGGGAGGCTCTCGGGCCCTGGTGGTGGGGATGGGGGGCTCCTGGGACCCACTCTGTACCCCCCCAAGCATGGGAGGGTTCATCTCTGGGTGGGGAAGGAGTGCTGTGCCCACATCCCTTCCTCCGAGGCTCCCCGGGGGCCCCTGACCTGTGGGCAGCAGTGCCAGATGGAGTCACCCACCTCTGCAGTCCCCTTGCCTCTCCTCGCCTCTGCTGCCTTTGTGATGTGGGGGGCCTGGGCCAGCTCACTGAGCTGGGAGGATTGGCAGGCAGGTGTAGGAAAGGCCGGCACAGCGCAGCTGTGTACCTGGCTCAGCTCTTCCACCGGGGACCCTGCGTCCCGGGTGAGGACATCTGGGATGTCCCCTGTGGTGTGGCAGCCACAAGAGTAGCTAAGACTCGGCGAGCGCTTGCTGCGAGCCAGGTGTGGTGCCCGCTGGACCCGTCCCGTGACCTGTGGGGGAGGCTCCCTGCTGTCCCTTGTCCCGGGTGGGAGGCGGTGCAGAGGCCGGGCGACTTTCTGTGTCACCGAGTGAGCCCCTGTGGGTCTTTCCTGGGCTGGGCTGTGTGGCCTGAAGGTTCACCCCCTCTGGGCCTCTAGGGGTCCTGGGGGATGTGACTGTCATAGTCCGTGTCAGCCTTCGGCCCAGACTGGCCTCACCGTGCTGGGGGCGGGAGGGGAGGAAGCGCCGTTTCTCATCCGTCCCCTTGGAGATGGACTCCGCGCTGTGCAGAGAGAGGAGGGTGCTGCCCCTTCCCTCCTGAGGGTTCCTGCCTCCCGCCCGACAGGACGCCCGCCCCCAGGAAGGACCCTCCCTGGATCGCACTGGTCCAGGCAGAGCCAAAGAAGAAGCCAGCCCCTCTGCCGCCGAGCAGCAGCCCCCGGCCGCCAAGCCGGGACAGCAGGCGGGACAGCAGGCGGGTGGAGAATGGAGGCGAGGAGGTGGCCCCCAGGAGCCCGGCGGCGGCTGGCCTGGAGCCCAAGCCCTACAACCCCTTTGAGGAGGAGGAGGCAGAGGAGGTGGAGGAGCCCCCTGCTGCACCCAGTCTGGGCACCAGCCCTGCCCAGGCCCAGCCGGAGTCCACACCCAAGTCCCTGCACCCCTGGTACGGCATCACCCCCACCAGCAGCCCCAAGACCAAGAAGCGCCCTGCCCCCCGGGCGCCCAGCGCATCCCCGCTCGGTGAGTGCGGTCCCTGGAAGCTGTCCTGACAGTCGGAACTCGGGTCAGGGCCGGGAGCGGGCGTGGTTCAGCAGGATCCCTCTCGGCCAGGTGCCAGGTGGTTCACCTGTGTCCCCTCATTTATCCTGGAGCTAACCTGTGAGAGAGGTACCCTACCCCCATTCGCAGGTGGGGAAACCGAGGCACAGAGAGGGTAAGTGATTTGCCCAGGTCCTCACAGCATTTAAGCAGCGGAGGCAAGATTTGAATCCAGGCCCTAGACTCTGCGTTTAGCTCTGTGGCCCCCTCGCAGGTCTGTTGTGAGAGTCCTCGGGTGCAGTGTTGAGCACAGCATTGGCTCCCGGGAAAGCGCATGGCAGGGCTTAGCTGGCCTCTAGTGACAGCCTCACCAGTCACTCCCCTCCGGGCGCCGCTGACAGCCTCGGGCTCTGACCTGGCTGTGTGACTCGGCCCTTGTGACTTTGAGCAGTTCCTTCCCTGTGTCTGTCCTCGTCTGCTCATCCGGGAGCTGGTGGGCGCATGCCCTCTGCCAGCGCTCCCGCCCCTCCAGGCACCGGCTGGCAGTCTTCTTAGCCCTGGGCCCAGTCACCTTCCACCATGGCTGGGGGCCGGCTGCCTCCGAGACCTCAGGGGAGCCCCTCAGACTGGGGGGCCTAGAGCTGGTTGGAGATGATCAGAGGCAGGTGGTCTGGGGTCCCCACTCTGGCCCTGCTGGAGCCCTGAGACCCCCTAACTGAGCCAAGTGGAGGTGGTGGGCGGCGTGGGACGCAGACAACGAGACGAGCTCTGAGGCAGACTCACTGGGTTCACCCCCAGCTGTTGCCGGGCAGTGCCTTCCTGCTGCGCCTGCTGCCTTATATGCAGATGACGACACTTGGAAGCGTATTTCAGTGGTGCAGGCAGAGCCTGGCCCAGAGCTGGCCGCCACGAGGCTGCGGCTCCTCCGCTCCTGCTGCCTCCCTCCCTCCCCGGCTCCTGGTGGAGCCTCGCCTTCCGTGTTGTCTGCGCCTCCCCTCCCCTGGCAGGTTTGCCTTTTTTTTTAAGGCTAAAATTTTCATTTATTTTTATTTTTCCCCTGTTTATTTCATTTTTGTTTGTTTGTTTTCAGATTTGCCTTTTAAACTTGGCTTGGGTTGGCTCAGATGTGGGAGGGGAAGTGGAGGTGGTAGCCGTGCTGGGTCAGAACAGGAGAGGCGGGTCCTCGGGGCCGGGCTCCATGTGGACGTGGAAGGACATGGTGGCCGAGGCCACCGCAGGCCTGTGGAGAGGGACCGTGTTAGGCGTGGCGCCCACTTGCTCATCTGTTTGTACAGCTCTCCACGCCTCCCGCCTCTC